AACCTCCAACTCCTGGGCTCAAGCACTTCTCCTGCCTCTGCCTCCCAAGTAGCTGGGACTACAGGCACCCGCCACAATGCCCGGCTATTTTATTTTATTTTAGTTTTTGGTTGCAGCCATCATTGTTGTTTGGTGGGCCTGGGCTGGATTTGAACCCACCACCTTAGCCACTTCAGCCATGGGCGCGGAGCCAAGACAACCATCTTAACACTAGCCTCAGTTTGTTCCTCTCTGAGGATCTAAAAGAACTATACATTATCTGACTTCTATTGTTAAAGTTAAAGGTTAGGATAAACAGGGGAGTTAAACCTTTTTCTTCCATGTACTCAATTAAATTTTCAAGAAAACAGGATCCACGACTGTTTTCTTATGGTTTGCAGCCCCACTCCCCCAACGATGGAGTCTTCTTTTCACTCACACCAACCTTTGAGTCATGTACCCTGCACAGATGGGTCATTTCAACCCTTATCTGGCAGGCTGACTTGACTGCAAAGTCAGGGTTCCATGTAGGAGGTTGTTAGGCCTTGTCTGCTGGCCACCGCCATGAGTTCCCAGCTCATTTAGGCACGGACAAAAGCGCATAATACTCGCAAGTCTTTTCACTCAGTTTCTAGAATTAAAAGAACATATTTCATTTAATTTTTGTGGGAGTTTACCCCATACCCCACACACACGTACACACTTAGGCTGTAACAGTTGCTTAGTGATCTATCAGACAAGTCACATCCACCTCCCCTAGTGGCCTTGAAGCCCATCACTACACTGAGCTAGACACAGGGCAAAAATAACACCAGGTATGTAGTCTGGGAAAGTAACAAACACTGAATCCTTCAGCTAGAGGTCAGAGGGCTGGATGATGAAAGATAGTAACTTGGTGGGAGGCAGATAAGAACTCTATAAAACTCTCTCAAAGTAAGGCAGGCTTTGAGAATGATCTCCATCTTCCTGGGATTCTGAATCTTGGTAAATAAAGGACAACTTTAACCCACCTGAGTGTTTGATTCTTGCACCTAGCTCTGGTCTCCAGTTACAGTTGGGACTACAGGCACCTGCCACTGTGCCTGACTCATTTTTTTATTTTTAGTAGAGGATCTCGCCTTGCTCAGGCTGGTCTGGAATTTCTGACCTCAAGTGATCCTCCCACAGAATGCGAGGATTACAGGGGTGAGCTGCCACACACAGAACTGATAGTTTTCTCTACTCCTGGAGGTCCACAGATCTTTTTCCCTAACCTGTAATTTTCCTTCCTCAGTGGGCAGGGGGTGGGAAAGACCTCCCTACAATTTGAGGTATGTAAAAGGGATAAGCTGGTGTGGGTGCACCTGTAGTCCCAGCTACTCCAGAGGGCTGCAGTGGGAGGATCAGTTGAGCCCCAGGAGTTTGAGCGCAGCCTGGACAACAAAACTCCCTTCTCCAACAAACTCACAAACAAGAGAATCAGTTGCTTTCTAAGACCGGTATCCATAGGGTGACCAGACGTCCCGATTTTGGCGGGACAGTCCGCTTTTCAACAATTTGTCCCGGGGCCCTCGGCGTTTTAAAAAAGTCCCGATTTTTGGAAAGAACACAAGAAGGGGCTGGAGAACAAGAGGGGAATATACGGTTTTCGGCCGCCATATGGCTAGTTCGCCAGAATATGAGTTTTACATTATTTTTGTTAATTTTATAATGTTAAACTGTAATAAATAATTGCTGAGAAGTGATTATCGAGAACTGCATATCAAAGTTTGCATTGTTGTCAGGCCCCGCCCTGCCGGGTACCCAGCCTCGCGCCCCAGATCCGCCCCCCCCCCCACACCCCGCCATGTTGTCCCGCCTTACAGATGTTAAAATCTGGTAACCCTAGGTATACAGTATGTCACCTCAGTCATTCAGTCATTCACGCCTCAATAAATAATAGCCAGCAGGTCCTTGCCAGAGATTTGAGAAAATGATGAGAACCGACCTAGGTGCCGGTCCCCAGGGAGGGCAGTGGGTGGAGTCCACGCTCCCCTCTGCTTCTACAGAGCCAGCCCAGCAGCACAGACTCTTAGGCGCTCGCCGGGGAAGGGGCCTCGCCCCGGCCACCCGCCCCTCCCCGCCTGTCGCGGCGACACGCCTCTTCCCCCGTCCTCAGAGCTAAAAGGCCTGCGGGCGCTCGGCGTTCCTCCAGACCTCGATCCGGCACCCAGCGCAGCGAGTCTACCTGTGCATAGCGGGTAAGGCTCGGCAGGGTCTCAGGGTCTCAGGGTCTCGCGGGGAGGTGGTGCGGGAGGCGGAGAGGCCCGGCCCCCGCCCTACACAGCCCCTGCACGGCCCCAGGCGCTGCACCACCGCCCCGACATCTGCCAGCGCAGCCACCGCCCTGAGACCCGCGTGACACCGCGACCCCGGATTCCCGCTGGCCGCTCCAGGAAGCAAGGCCAGCCCTGCTAAGGAGGAGGGGGGTCGGAGGATGCAGGCTGAAGGCTGGATGGAAACTTGTGGACAGCGGAACGCTTTGCTTCCTGACTTCCCCTCCTCTGAGCTGGGGCAGTTTCCAGGCAGCCCTAGGGCGAGCCACTTCTGGCGGCAGGATGGGCAAAGTGCAGCATGGTGCTGTCTTAGAGATTATCAACAAGAGAATTCAATTGTACTTACACGCTGGGCAGGCAGCTCAACTATTCTTAATTTGCCTGTTCTTGGGGGTGGGGGGAACTAAGGTTCTGAAAGTAGAGATCAAGAAGGCTTAGTGGGTGGCCAAGCCGAGATTCCGCAGTGACAGAGGACACTCGTCCCCATCTCCGTTCCCAGTTGGCTTTCCCAATGCTGGGCTGTGTTGGATTTTCAAATACACACCTCCAGGCGGCGCCTGTGGCTCAGTGAAGAGGGCGCCGGCCCCATATACTGAAGTTGGTGGGTTCGAACCCGACCTCAGCCAAACTGCAACAAAAAATAGCTGGGCATTGTGCTGGATGCCTGTAGTCCCAGCTACTTGGGAGGCTGAGGAAAGAGAATCAACCTAAGCCCAGGAGTTGGAGGTTGCTGTGAGCTGTGATGCCACCACACTTTACTGAGGTGATAAAGTGAGACTCTGTCTCTAAAATAATAATAATAATAATAAATAACAATTAAACACACACCTCTTGTGCCAGCTCTGAGACATTGGACACTGGGCCTCATACATTACTGAATGAACCTCAAAAATAAGAATAATTAGATCATCAGTTATAATTAATGTATAGGTAGCTATGACCTGATAGAAATGTTCTTATCTTAGGCTAAGTAGGCATTGGATTCATTGTCCAAATCAATCAGAGACTTGAACCAAAGGTCAGAGATTGTGCATGCTCCCAGACTCAGTAGGGTGGAAGGACCCAGGGCTGGGCGGCTGTGTCAGTGCCACAGTGGCCTGGCCCTCTGCTCAGACTCGGCTGTCTGCAAGGTCAGAGCCCTTTATGACACCCTGCGTCCTGATGCTGTGTTACTGCTGAATCATTGACCAGGTTAGTCTCACATTTGTGTGCATGGGAAAGTGTTCTTTTCCTGCTGGGGAAAAAAGAGAGAGAGAGAAGAAAGAACAAGTTGCAGGGTGTTCCAGAGTCATTGGCACAAGTTGAGGGAGATTTGGGGGAAATGGTGCTGTCTATTTTGCTGCCATGAGCAGTGGGCAACCCGGGACCTCTGTTCTGTGTTGTAGCCTTCACCATGGAGAAGCTGAGTGCAGCAAACAACCACTTCGCCTTAGACCTGTTCCGTGCCTTGAATGAAGACAATCCGACTGGAAACATCTTCATCTCTCCCTTCAGCATTTCATCAGTGATGGCCATGATCTTTCTAGGGACCAGAGGCAACACTGCAGCACAACTATCCAAGGTCAGCAGAAACAAACAAAAGAGGTCTGCTTTCCCTGCTGTCTTCCTGCTCATACATTCTGAGGTCGGACTTTCAGAACAGGCCCCAGCATAATCCCTTTGTGTGCAGGCTTTCCATTCATCTTCAGGTCTTTACCGAGTGTCTGCTTTGTGCCAGGCACTATTTTTTGTTTTGCTGAGGATACAGCAGTGAACAAAACCAGTAAAAAATGTCCCTTCCGGATGATGCTTCCTTTCCAGTGGACGCATCTGACAGCTTTCTGTAAGCCACCACACCTTGTTCTGAGCTTGCAGTTTGCAGTTTTTGCTTTGCATATAGTGATCTGTGACTCACACCTAATGCCTCTTACGCAATGTTGCCTTTGAGCATAACGAGAGCAATGAGACATAGAGTATGCACTAGAGCAGTGGTTCTCAACCTTCCTAATGCTGCAACACTTTATTTAATACAGTTTCCGTTGGGCAGGTCCCACAGGTTGAGAACCCCTGAACTAGAGGATGATGGTGGTGGTACTGCCTTTTGTGGAGACAAAGAAGAAGGCGACCCTGTGGTTCTGTATCCCCAAAATGCGACCCTGTGCCTGGCACTGCTCATGGCTCTGTGGGATCTGGCAGTGTTGCCTGTGCAGGCAGGCCCTGCAGGAGAGGGCACGGGGAGGCCCCGTAGCTTCAGGAGAAGGACCCAGCCCCTGGCCATGTAGGGCAAGTACTCTTGTGCCCAGCCTTCCCTCCCATCCTTAATGGGCATGGAGGGGACCTCTGTGCTTGGTGCTTTTTAATTCTGAGAGGGGAACTCTAGCTTTCTTTTGAAGCCCAGTGGAAAGTAGTGGTAAAAGTTGAGGTTCTTCTAACTCAGCTGCCACAAATTATCCAGCACCTGTTCCTCAAGAAGGTGTAGCCCTGGGGTCAAGTTCAAGAGACTGCAAATATTCCATTACTCATCACTGGAGGTAAGAAAGCATCTTAAAACTTCTTTTTAAATTCGCTTTTAATAAACCACTGATACCAATTTTTAGTTGCTTCTTGCAGGGTTATATCAATTCATTTTCTGAGGCTTCCCAGGGACTTTATAACCTCAGCAAAGAGTAGTTTTAAGTATCCCCCTCCCATTTCCTTTAAAACAGAGGGAACGTAGTAACAATGCAAACATTCTATGTCTCTGTGTAGTTTTGTTCTATGTGTCTTAATAAGAAGGAATCAGCCCAGGCCTCATAAAACCATTAAGGGCCTCTTAATGTGTAGCTAATAATTGAGAAATTAAGCTTTTGTCAGAATTTTAAGCTTAAGGAAGTTATTTTTAAATGAGTTCCTGATGCTAATAGATTAACAGACCCATAAATATTTAGTGTATTAAACACTAACACTTGTGGAATCATATAATTATTAAGACTATAATTATAACAAAAAAGTAATGATGTAAAAGCAGTTATTGGTGTAACTATTATGTCTCACGAAGTTATAAATTTTGGGTTCCCTAGTGTTTGTTCTTCAATAACAAATTAATAAAGTATTGGGCTGTAGACCATTGGTAATCAGTAATGAATGCAAATTAATTTAATTAATTTGATAGACACAAGGAGGAATCACTTTGTAATTTTAAAATAAATGATTGTAGAAGGAATGTTTTCTTTATTTTAGACTTTGCATTTCAATACGGTTGAGGAGATTCATTCAAGATTTCAGAGTCTGCATGCTGATATCAACAAAAGTGGAGCACCCTACATTCTGAAACTTGCTAATAGATTATATGGAGAGAAAACCTATAATTTCCTCACTGTAAGTACTTTACCCTTCATATTCTAAAACTCCACTGGACAGTGCAGATATTTGACAGCACAGTCACCTCACAGAAGACAGTTTTAGTCCTTATCACCATTCAGATGGTGTAGCCCTGAGGTCAAGTTCAACATCTGACAGACAGTACTCCCACTAATTGATGTGGTGGTTTTATTTTCCAGTCTTTGTACTGCAGAAATTGCTCCCAGAGGTTTTAATGAAGCAAGAGTGGATCCCATGATTCACTTCCAAGTACAAGCAATATCTGATGATTTTATGAAAATGTTAGTCAAAGATTAGAAAGGAATTGGTAAATTTTATGTGATACCAAAGTATGAGGGTTAGATTTAATTTACCACTACTGAAATGTATGCTTAAAAATAGTTCAGATATTGGCTCACTAAAAGTAGAGGTTAAAAAAATTAGAACAATTAG